TGTCTTTATAGTTTTCATTGTATAGGTCTTTCACTTCCTTGGTTAAATTTATTCCTAGATATTTTATTCTTTTTGTTGTGATTGTCAATGGGATTGTATTCTGGAGTTCTCTTTCTGTTAGTTTGAGTATAGAAATGCAACTGATTTTTGTAAGTTGATTTTGTACCCTGCAATTTTGCTGTAGTTCTTGATTGTTTCTAATAGTTTTCTGATGGATTCTTTAGTGTTTTCTAGATATAAAATCATGTCATTTGCAAACAGCGAGAGTTTCAGTTCCTCCTTGCCAGTTTGGATTCCCTTTATTTCTTTTTCTGGCCTAATTGCTCTGGCCAAAACCTCCAGTACTATGTTGAATAAGAGTGGTGAGAGTGGGCAACCTTGTCTTGTTCCTATTCTCAGAGGGCTGGCTTTTAGTTTTTGCCAGTTGATTATGATATCGGCTCTGGGTTTGTCAGATATGGCCTTTATTATGTTGAGGTACTTTTCCTCTATACCCATTTTATTGAGAGTTTTTATCATAAATGGATGCTGGATCTTGTCAAATGCTTTTCTCTGTGTCTATTCAGATGATCCTGTGGTTTTTATTCATCATTTTGTTAATGTGGTGTATCACATTGATTTGCCCGTGTTGAATTATCCCTGTGTCCCTGGTATAAATCCCACTTGATCGTGGTGTATGATCCTTTTAATGTCATACTGTATTCAATTTGCCAATATTTTGTTGAGGATTTTTGCATCTATGTTTGTCAACGATATTGGCCTATGTATTTCCTTTTTTGTTTTGTCCTTGTCTGGCTTTGGGATCAGGGTGTTGTTGGCCTCGAAAAGCTGTTAGGAAGTGTTCCGTCGTCTTCAATTTTTTTGAATAGTTTGAGAAGGATAGACATTAAATCTTCTTTGAATGTTTGGTAGAATTCTGCAGAGAAGCTATCTGGTGCTGGACTGTTATTTTTTGGGAGGTTTTTGATTACTGTTTCAATCTCTTATAATTGATCTACTCAGATATGAGTCTAAGAATGTATCCATTTCTACTAGATGGTCTAATTTGTTGACATATAGTTTTTCACAGTATTCTCTTATAATCCTTTGTATTTTTGTGCTATCTGTTGTAACCTCTCTTTCGTTTCTAATTTTATTTTTATTTATTTGAGCCTTCTCTCTTTTTTCCTAGTGAGTCTGGCTAAGGGTTTCTCACTTTTGTTTACCTTCTCAAAGAACCAGCTCTTAGTTTCATTGATCCTTTCTACTATTTTTTTGGGTTTTTTTGGTTTCAATTTCATTTATTTCTGCTCTCATTTTTTTCTTCTTCTCCTCGTCCCTCCTCCCTCTTCTCTCCCCCTCCAAAGCCCCCCCAGTACATAGTTGTATATTCTAGTTGTGAGCGCTCTCATTTTTATTATTTCCCTCTTTCTGCTGACTTTGGGCTTTGTTTGGTCTTCTTTTTCTAGTTCTGTTAGGTGTAGTTTGATTGCTTATTTGAGATTTTTCTTGTTTGTTACGGTTGACGTGTTTTGCTATGAATTTCCCTCTTAGGACCACTTTTGCTGCATCCCATATGAGTTGGTATGGTGTATTTTCATTTTCTTTTGTATCCAGATATTTTTTTATTTCTCCTGTAATTTCTTCAATATCAATATTTGTCACTTTCCCAGCTTTTTTCTTGTAGCTCATTTCTAGTTTCATAGCATTATGGTCACATAAGATGCTTGAGATGATTTCATTCTTCTTAAATTTATTGAGGCTTCCCTTGTTTCTCAACACATAGTCTATCTTTGAGAATATTCTGTGTGCACTTGAGAAGAATGTATATTCTGCTGTTTTTGGATGGAATGTTCTATATCTATATTTAGTCCATCTGCTCTAGTTTTTTGTTTAGTTCCACTATTTCCTTGTTGACTTTCTGTCTGGATGATCTATCCATTGATGTAAGTGGGGTGTTAAGGTCCTCTACTATTATTGTGTTGCTGTTAATATCTCCTTTTAGGTCTGTTGATAGTTGCTTTGTGTACTTTGGTGCTCCTGTGTTGGGTGCATAGATATTTATGTGTTAATGTCCTTTTGGTGGCGTGTCCCTTTTGTCATTATATACTGCCACTCTTTGTCTCTCATTGCCTTTTTTATCTGGAAGTCTGCTTTGTCTCATATAAGTATGGCAACACCTGCTTTATTTTGTTTGCCATTAGCTTGGAGTATCATCTTCCATCCCTTCACTCTGAGCCTGTGTTTGTCTTTAGAGGTGAGATGTGTTTCCTGGAGGCATCATATTGTTGGGTCTTGTTTTTTAATCCATCCAGCCACTCTGTGTCTTTTGATTGGAGAATTCAATCCATTTACACTTAGATTTATTATTAATATATGAAGGCTTAATGCTGCCATTTTATCACTTGTTTTCTGGTTGTTCTGTATTTCCCTTGTTTCTCATCCCATGTATTTTGGACTGTGAATTTAGTTTGATGGTTCCCTATGATGGTTTTCTCTGTTTTCTCTTTATTTATCATTTGTGTCTCTGCTCTGATATTTTTTTTGTGTGTATGTGAGGAAGATTGACCCTGTGCTAACTTCTGTTGCCAATCTTCCTCTTTGTTTTTTCTCCCCAAAGCCCCAATACATAGTTGTATATCCTAGTTGTAGGTCACTCTAGTTCTTTTGTGTGGGATGCTGCCACGGCATGGTTTGACAAACAGTGTATAGGTCCATGTCTAGGATCTGAACCGGTGAATCCCAGGCCACTGAAGCAAAGCACATGAACTTAACCAAACTCAGCCATGGGGCTGACCTCTCTGTTCTGATTTTTTGTTTAGTGGTTACTGTCACGTTTGTATAAAAGATCTTGTAGATGAGTAGTCCATTTTTGATAGGCTCTTATTTCCTTAGTCTAAGCAGGTTCCATCCTTTTCCTCTTCTCCATCTAAGTTATTGTTGTCACAACTTATTCCGTTTTGTGTTGTGAGTTTGTAGTTAAACCAAAGTGATTATAGTTATTCTTGATGTTTTCCTTCCCTTTATCTTTAATGTTATAATTTAGTGTTTCTTAACCTGTTCTGATAGGAAGCTGCAATTTTCTGGTTTTGTCTGCCTATTTTATCTCTTTGCGCAAGGCTTTGTAAACCATTTCTTTTTTTTTTTTTTTTTTCAGATATGCCAGCCTTCTTGGTCCTTTCTTGTTGGGAGGGAGGTCTTATGACAATGACTCCCTCAACTTTTGTTTATGTGGGGAAGTTTTTATTTCTCCATACCTGAAGGATATTTTTGCTGGATAGAGTATTCTTGGCTGAAGGTTTTCTTTCTTCTTTTTTTTTTTTTTCCTACTTTATCTCCCCAAACCCCCCCATACATAGTTGTATATCTTAGTTGTGGGTCCTTCTAGTTGTGAGAAGGTTTTTGTCTTTCAGAATTTTGAATATATCATTCCACTCTCTCCCAGCCTGTAAAGTTTCTGCTGAGAAATCTGCTGAAAGCCTAACAGGAGTTCCTTTGTAGATTATTTTCTTTTGCCTTGCTGCCCTTCATAGTTTTTCTTTGTCATTGACTTTTGCTAGTTTTACTGATATATGCCTTAGAGAAGGTCTTTTTATATTGATGTAATTAGGAGTTCTGTTGGCTTCTTTTGCTTGTAATTCTAGCTTGTTCCCTAAGTTTGGGACGTTCTCAGCTATTATTTCTTTGAACAAGCTCTCTCCTCTTTTCTCTCTTCTCTTCACCTGGAATACCTATAATCCTTATGTTGCCTCTCCTGAGTCAGATATTTCTCACAGAATTTCTTCATTTCTTTTTAGTCTTAGTTCTTTCTCCTCCATCTGAATCATTTCTATATTTCTGTCCTCTAAATTGCTAATTCTGTCCTCCATAATACCAGCGTTTTTATTTAAGGACTTCAGATTTTTCTTATTCATTATATTTTTCATCTCCAACATTTCTGATTGGTTTTTCTTTATAGTTTCAATCTCTTTTGTGAAGAATTCCCTGTGTTCATTAATTTTATTCCAATTTCATTGAACTGTCTCTCTGAGTTTTCTTGTGACTTGCTGAGTTTTTCTCTGATAGCTGTTTTGGATTCCCAGTCATTCAGATTGTGAAGTTCTGTGCCTTCAGGGTTGATTTCTGGATGTTTGTCTTTTTCCTTCTGGTTTGGAATATTAATAGACCTTTTCATTCTATTTGATGGGGTGGATTTGTGCTTTCACATAGTGGTAGTATCTGGTTGCAGATTCCACCTGCCGCCAATAGGGGAGGGGCAGAAGCTATGTTTTCTGAGCTGGCCACGATCGCTGTCAGCTGTGCCTCTTTAAGCCTGGGCCACTCTGTGGGACTGCAGTGGCACTGTGGGCTCTCCTACCAGATGGGAAAGTTATCACATCGGGGCTCAGGTCTGCTACCACCTGCTCTCACTGTCTCACCAAGGCATGCTCCCACCTTGGGGGCTGCTACAATGCTATGGGTGTTCATAGCAGCCAGGAAATCATTCACCCAGGTGCTTAGATCTGCCACTGCCTCTTCTTAAGGTGACTCCTTATGATGTGCTTGATGGGTTGGACTTGCCCATGGGGTCTGAGCCTGGGACCACAGTAGCACTGTGGGCTCTCCCACTGGACGGGAAAGTGACCACATGAGTGTTTAGGGCTTCTATTACCTGCTCTCATAGTCCCACCAAGATGCACTCCCACCTCTGGGTCTGCAGTGGTACTGTGGGCATTGGCAGCAACCGGGAAATTGTTCACCCAGACACACACATCCACTGCCTTTTCTTCCTAGGTCGTGCTGGCCATTGTGCTTGGTGGGTAGGGTCTCCCCACCGGTCTGAGCCTGGGCCGCTCCCTAGGACCAGGGCGGCACTGGGCTCTCCCACTAGATGGGAAAGTAATCAGGCAGGGGCTCAGGGCTCCCACGCACTCTCATGTGCTCCCACCCTCGGGGCTGCAGCGGTACTATGAGTGCGCTAGCCAGAAGAGTAGCTACATGTGTGCACAGGGCTGCTGGGGGGCCAGAGAGTGCCCACCTACCTGCACCACCTCTTCCGGGGTAGTCCATCCACCTTCAGATAGATGTATAGCTGTGTGGGTCTCTCAGGTGTTATCTTGTGCTGGGTGGGTATCCTCTGTTGATCAAGGAATGTCAATTTAGTTGTAGTTGGAAGGGGAGAGATAAAGGGAACAGCTCACTCCACCACGTTGCTGATGTAACCTAGGGAGGAGATTTTTTGAGGGATTTTTACCTAGAAGCAATATGATTTACATAGGAAAGTTCTGGACAGCCTGGCTCTTTGGTAAGAGCTGGGACTGGAAGTGGTGTTGATGCAAGTCCTAGTTGGAGAAGTTGATGCTCTTACTAGGCCAGTGCTGTTAAAAGGAGGCTTGAGTGGAGATTTAGGAAGACAAATCAGCAATGTCAGGAGTGTATGAACTGCTCAAAGGTGGTGTGGAAATCATAGGAGTGTGAGGTTAGTGGGTGGTCCAGGTGGCCTTTCACATGCCTTTGAAGTGGGATGCTATACATCTAAGCTTATCTGCATTGTTCCATCATTTTCCCCCACATTTTTATTGAAGAGTCTACTAGGCACTCTGTTTCTGTGATATGCCATCATCTTATTGGTTCTGTTCCCTAGTCCCATTGTGATGTGTGCAGCTGCCCTCCTGCATGGATGCCCCCTCTACTCCCACCTGTGGGCATCCTCCTCACCATTCCTGGCTGCCCTCCTTGGGGACTCCCTCTTCGTCCCACTTGGGCTGCACCCTAGATGCCCACCTTGCTTGCCCCCAGCAGTGACTTTAGGACAGTCTTCTATTCGTGGAGATGCTGCTGCAGCGAATTTAGTACAGACTTTGTATAGAGAGGCAGTTGAAATTAGCAGAACAAAGTGGACGTGTTAGTAACAAGAAATCTCAAAAAGCATTTTTACTGAATAGTGGTGGTGTTTTTGAAATGTGTGTAGAGTTAGACCAGATCTTATTCCCAGTCTGGTTCACTTTACTGTTTTAAGGAAAACAAAAATGTTTACCAAAGCAAGTGTGGTCAAATGTAATATAAAACTGTGGTCTGGGAGAATTCTTAGAAGGGAATTTTAGAAGAGAGAATATGTTAGGAAAAGGAGTAACCTGAGGATGATTGATTCAGTGTTTGATTCTTTTTAAGGTATGGCTTGAAAGGTGAATGGGAGCTAGAGGGGAAACCAGTGTACAGCCATGCCCACTGTTGATAGTTTCCTGAAGAAGCGAATTTCCTAGACTCAGCTGCTGTTGCCTTGGGCATAGAAATTACCAAGGTAACTTTTGGCTATTGGGAATCAGTAAAACAGATGGTTTCACTTATTTATGCATTATGTATTTTATAGGTTATATATAATCAGTGCTTTTGTTGTGTTTGCATTTTTTTATTTTATAAAAATGATGAGAAACTGGTACAGTTTTAAAAAGCTCTTGTCTCATTGTTAAAGACAAAATCATTAGCTATTCCAGAGACAATCAAGCTGGATGATTTTTTAAGCTGGCTGACTATTAACTGTAAAGAAAGAAATTAACACATATAACATGTTAGACATATAGAATTTAAAATTGTGTCGAAAGACAAAGTCAAATTAGAGATTTTAAAATAAATTATTAGCTTTCATGGAATGAGAACCCTCCTTAGACCTGCAACAAACAAAAAAGTTGTTTCTGCATTAGGGCGTCTGACTTCACTACCCCTTTTAGGGATTATATTGTTTGTGCAAGTTTCATAGGTATATAGCAAATGTCTAAACTTTCATGTAAGTATATAGTCAGTGTCAGCAGTCTATTCAGAACGTTCCAGTTCCCTATAAAGTCAGAAGACTGATGGTTGACCAGAGGCCCTATGTAGTCTAACCCCACGTCTGCCCTCCTGAACTTAGCTAAAACATGCTCCCTAGAGCCTTTTCTGTTCTCTCTGTCTGGAATACGCTTTTCCCGAGTGTCCACATGGCTCACTCCCTCCGTTCTCCTTGTCATTGCTTAAATGTTACTATCACAGAGGCCCTCCTTGACCATACTGTAAAATGGAGACCACTGCTGCCTACCTTCTTTTCCTTCACTCCATTTATCACCACCTGATGTAGGGGTATTTATGTGTCTCTCCACGACACTAAACATTGATGAGCGGAGGAGCTTGATGTTTGCTCAGTTCTCTGTCTGCCCCCTCTTGGCGTGTGGTAGACGTATCATAAATACTTGTCCAGTGAATGAGAAAGTGATGGGGGTATGGATGCTCCTTTGTGTGGAGATTTGCAAATATAGGCTATTTGGCTATTTGTTCTGCAGCTTGGGTCATCTGGAATCCTCTAAAATTTTCTTCTTTGCCACTTACTTACTCAGTAAGTATTTGCGTGACTGCATATGTGCTGGGCACTGGAAGAGTACAACGCTGACAAGTCCCTGCCCAGGTACAGCCTAGAATCTAACGGGAAGCTGCCCTGGTAAATTCTAAGTCCCTTGACGGGAGGGGAAAGTGCACTCAAAGTTCTCTCTGTTCTTTGACTGGAGTGTGTGCTGGGGTAGGGATAGGATAAGCTAATATTGGTTTCCAGCTTTTTTATAAATAAATGGCTATCAAAGAGCTTGTGATTAATATGCTATTTAGTGTGTGAAAATAATTTTTACCATTTTTATCTTCTTTTAAGTGTTCTGGAGTTAACTAAAATGTGCAAAACTTACTAGAAGAGACATAGAGCTGAATTTACAAACTGTAGTGGCAGTCCTCCATTAAAAATCAAGGATTACTTTACCCTTTAATCATATCAATGTGTCTTATCTTCATCCTTTTAAACTTAAATTTCATTTTTGTTAAGTTATCATAATTTATTTATCCTTTGTCTTCACAATGGACATTTGTTTCCAGCTTTTTACTATTACAACTGTTACTCCTAGGAACATTCTTTGACCAATTTCTTGGTATCCATCTGGAATGTAGATATTCAGCTGAGAGATCAGTGCCAAATTATTTTCCAAAGTGGTCACACTGGTTTATTCTTCTACCAGTAAAATATTTTCTCCATTCCTTCTCCAATAATTGCCATTCTTGGACTGCATTCTAGACAATCCAGTGAGTTTAACATTGCTTCTCATACCAAGGAATTTTGCTGGTTTTTTTTTTTTTTTTTTTAAGATTTTATTTTTTTCTTTTTCTCCCCAAAGCCCCCCAGTACATAGTTGTATATTCTTCGTTGTGGGTCCTTCTAGTTGTGGCATGTGGGATGCTGCCTCAGCGTGGCTTGATGAGCAGTGCCATGTCCACACCCAGGATTCGAACCAACGAAACACTGGGCCGCTTGCGGTGGAGCGCGCGAACTTAACCACTCGGCTACGGGGCCTGCCCCAGGAATTTTGCTATTTTTGTTAGGTGTGATAATGGCATTGTGGATCTGTAAAAAATGTCCACATTTTTAAGAATATGCATATTGCTATACGGTCATGTATGGCTTAACAACAGGGATCCATGTTCTGAGAAATGTGTCGTTAGGCTATTTTGTCATTGTGTGAACATCGTAGACTGTCGTTACACAAACCTAGACTATACACCTAGGTTTTATGGTGCTAATCTCATGGTACTACCATCGTATATGCTGTCTATCATTGACCAAAACATGGTTATGTGGCACATACCTATATAGGGGGCTGAAATAACTGGGATTTACTTTAAAATTCTTCAGCAAATATAAAGCACAATTTTGGGTCAGTTAACCAGATTGGAATACAGACACAGATTAAAGTGTTGTTTCAATGCTAAATTTACTGTTCTGTGGTTATGTAAAACAATATGCCTACTCTTAGAAAACGTATGCTGAATATTTAAGAGTACAGGGCCATAATGTAGGGCATTTTGAAATGGTTCAGAAAAGAAATTACATATATACATGAAGCTTGTTTTTATTATTATTATTTTTATTTCTCCTTTTTCTCCCTAAAGCCCCCCAGTACATAGTTGTATATTTTTAGTTGTGGCATGTGGGATTCCGCTTCAGCATGGCTTGATGAGCGGTGCCATGTCCAAGCCCAGGATCTGAACTGGGAAATTCCTGGGCCCCCTGAAGCGGAGTGAACTTAACCACTCAGTTACGGGCCAGCCCCTGTTTTTATTATTAAAAATAGTCCATAATTCCTTCACCTTATCTTGTGGCTGTAACCACATTAAAATTTTGCTTTCATATCTTTTCTGTGTGCTTATGTGTACTCGAATTTTAAGCACAAATGGATCATACTGTATGTAATAGTTTTTCAACTTTAATTTTCCCATGATGAAAAATTAAACTGAGTATTGATCCTGAATAATATCCTATCATACACCTTAATTTTTTTAACCACATCCTTATTCTTGACTAATTTATATTTTTTCGATTCTTCCCTATTAGAAATAACACATGAATAGGCAGGAATTTATAATATCCTTTTCCAGTAGAAACAAAAACCTTCCTCAATTCTGTGGATCAGGTTTCCCAGTTAAGTGCATTCATAGTTCTTTTTCTCTGGCACTTATGACAATTGGGATTAATTGTTTGTGTAATTATTTCTCTCCAGCCAGACTGAGTTCTATGAAGGCAGAGACTGACTGTTTTAATCATGGCTGTATTAAGCAACACTGGGCACACAGTAGGGCTGAAAGATTTATTGAATCAGAGGAGAATAATTAAATGTAAAACATATTAGTTTATTATAAAATGTCACCCTTCTGCAACCAACTTTGAAAGCACAGGTTTCTTTTACTGGGTGAGGAAACCATCTCCCACCCCCTCAAGATTCAAGCATTGAAAATGATAGGATTTACAATGGGAATACCTGCCCCCTCCCAACACACATGCCCCTATATTCTCATTATACCACTGTGCGGTTTAACTTCCATTTTCAGAGCCAAAGAAACAGGGGCCTGCACAGGGGAAGTGACTTGTCTAAAGTTTGTGGTGGGCAGAGCCTTATATCCCTGTGCGCTTCCTATAACCTAGCCTCCCTCTGTGTTTCCCTTGGCCATTTGAATCTCACTTAGGACCCCTCTTTCCTGTGTCCTTGTACACAGGTGGATTGTAGTGAGGGCAGGACCATTGTATAACCCTGCCTTTTCAAACCTAGGTAAAGGGCAAATGTGTCTATGAAGTAAGATTTGTATACAAGCTATAAGGTGTATACAAGCTATAAGAAGTTGCCAGGATTTGCAGAATTCTAAATCCTCCTTCTGACCACCCTTCCTCCCCTGCTCATAACCCCTCAGCAGGAGGTGGGCCTGAAATAGATAATTTTAAAAAGAACCTCATAAGTCACTGAGAGGAAATTTTTTTGCGTGATTGACATTCACAACTCACAAATTCACACATCTCATTTTATATAGTAGTAACGTAGAATACACATTTCTTCTTGTTTCAGTGGTTCTGATATTGTCATAATATTTGTAATACAAAAACCTTAAAGTTTTGTGCTTGTTGGGATGATTTTTATCACATTAAAATGGGGAATGTTATCAAATCCATGATCTTTATACATTAATATTATGTTCTAATGCATTGATTCTCAAAACTGGCCCACCATAGTCACGTGGGAGGATTGTAAAAACAAACCAAAAGCATCTAGTGTGCAGTCGATTGTTTCCTTGCTCTAGGTGTTTCATTTTCTGAAATTCACCAAGCTGGGCCCTTTTGTGTATGCTTTTCTCTGTGCACACCATACTTTATAAAAACTAGATATTTGCATAAAGTATGCATATACATCCATGCCCATATATACACATGCGTAAACATGCATGCATACATACATGTATACACACCTACGTACATACATGAAACAGGGTGGAGCCCAAGAGTCGGTATTTTGAAGAAGTTTATCAGATGGTTCTCAGCGGTCAGGATTGAGAAGTGCTGAATTAGAGCGCAGCTCTGTTGGAGTTCAAGGACTGGGCTTGGTTTGTCTTACTGCTACATGTGTGGTTCTGCATTGCACCCCTTAGCTCTAGTTGAATCTCACAAATGTTTATGAAGGAATTAATTTTAGTAATACTTTACATTTGTTTATTTTGACTCCTCTACTACTTAGTGCAGGATTAGAGCAGGATATCTTATTTTACTCTTTTTATAGGTGAGGAAATAGGTTAGCCTGCAAGTTCCTGGTAAGTTCCAAAACCAAGGACTTTGA